CAACTACTTGAAAGGGTGTTGTGGTGAGGTGAGTGTTAGTCTCTTCTGCCAAGTAACTAGCACTAGGAGAGGAAATGGCCTCAAGTTGCACCAGGGGAGGTTTAGATTGGATATTAGGAAAAATTTCTTCACCGAGAGGGTGGTCAAGCATTGGAACAGGCTGCTCAGGGAGGTGGTGGGGTCACCATTGCTGGAAGCATTCAAGAAACATGTAGATGTGGCACTTCCGGACACGGTTTAGTGGGCATGGTGGTGTTGGATTGATGGTTGGAGTTGATGATCTTAAAGGTCTCTTCCAACCTTAATGATTTTGTGAAGCTGTGCCCTCTGCGACAGCAGTTGGCTGAGGGAGGTATGGATATGGTCACATTACTCAGCCAGTAGTTCCAGTCACATTCGTTCTGCTTCTTGGGGATCCTGTGCTCTTCAAGCTGGGTAGTCTCTTTGCCCTTACAGATATCTCCCATTTGGGAGCTCACCTCCGAGTGAAAGCTCATTGTTAACATTAGGCCTATATGCAGTGCTGAAAATAAAAATTTTACAGCAGATTTGATAGCTTCATTTTCTAGCCTAAAGCACACTGTGATTTCTTCCCCTGTTTGGCTCTGTGGGTGGAACAGGCATTTCAGTACGCACTACCGCGTTTGTTATAGGGAGTTCTTCCGCATTAGAGATATTAACATCTTTGTTATTACTGCCAGATATCTCCTCCCCCGTACCAAGTGGTCGCCTGAGCTAGCATTCCTTTTAAGGACAGACTCCCAGTAGTAGTATTCTCCTCCTCAAAGTGAAGATGATCTCTACAGAGGTCAGTTCCTTCTGCTTTCTCAGAATCCCGCCTCCCCCATATTCCTTAGAAAGTCATTATTCAAGATGTCAAAACCACTTGCAAAAATATCACAGACATTCTAGAAATCCGTGTCACAATTACCTCTTTGTAATCATTAATGACTCAAAACCATAGCATTTGATTTAAAAAGTTTTATGCAAGAAAATTTTTTTAACATTTAATATAAAATCAAAGTTTGACATAGCTTATTTTTCAAACGTTATCCTTTTTCCATTCATCAACTGACAATTAGAAGATCACAATTAAAAAAGTCATCCTAAATACTTTTAAAAGCTTTATAAAAACATTCATAAAGTGCCACCCACAAAAGCACCTAAACAAGAATCTGAGCGCAGTACCTATTAGGATGTTAATTTACTTAAGTGCTGCTGAGGACTAAGCTGTCAGACAGCAGCATAATTTGTGGAACTGTCAAGTTAACAACCATACAACCCAGCAAAAATACCACTCCATAGATGTGGCCCCAACAGAGCATCAGCAGGGCCCGCAACACGTACGCAGAGGCACCCAGCACAGGGGCTGTGGGGTTTTAAAATAAAAAGGTGCTAACACCACCTAAAACCAAGAATACCGGCAACTGGGAGATGCAGATTCTAAGGGGAGTGATCATCCCAGGCTGTGGCTTTACTGCAAGGGAAAACCCAGGCAGCTTGTGTGGAAAACAGGTACAGATTTTAGCTGGTTTTTACTGGCATAAAAATCACTCCCCACTAGAAATAAAAGAAAAAGGCACTGATCCGTGGGACATCTCTACGTTCTCCTCTCTGGCCTTGAACGTACCATTACAATTACAGTATAAGCACCTTTCTTTTTCCCATCCCCAAAAGAGGGGCTCAGAACAACCACCGCACCGCAGTGAACACGCACTAGTTTGTTCGGTAGCAGCCTCCCTCTTTGCTTGAGGGCCTGGGCAGCGCTCACAGGTTTACCCAGAAGAAAAGGGGAGAGGCTCTTAGGCTCCCTCCTCCAAAATTCCCGCCCCATATGAGGTGTCCAGGGAGCAGCTGTGTGTCTAACACCACCAGGTAGCTGCCTATGTTCCACACGGCCTTCTCCTCCCCACCAACTACTCTGTATGGTGCTTCTGGTGGCGCACCAGCTGGGGCTGGAACCGAAAGCTTTCCCCACACCGGGCGCAGTGGTACGGCTGCTCCCCGGTGTGGATGCGGGTATGCTTGATGAGGTTGGAGTTGCCACTGAAGCCCCGCCCACACTGGCTGCATTTGTAAGGCTTCTCGCCAGTGTGGGTACGAGCATGGTTAATGAGGTCAGAGCTCTGCCCAAAACGTTTGCCACACTGCTCACAGGCATAAGGCCGGATGCCGTCGTGGGCTCGCTGGTGCTGAAGGAGGTGGGAGTGTTGGCTGAAGCTTTTCCCGCAGGCTGGGCACTTGTAGGGCCGTTCACCCGTGTGCATACGCTGGTGTTTGATGCAGGTGGAGCTGTCGCTGAAGATCTTTCCGCACTCGCTGCACACATAGGGTTTGAGCCCGGTGTGGATGCGCTGGTGCTTGAGGAGGTTGGAGCTCTGGCTGAAGCTCTTCCCACACTCGGCACAGGTGTAGGGTTTCTGGCCCGTGTGGACCCGCCGGTGCTGGATGAGGTGGGAGCTCTGGCTGAAGCCCTTGCCGCACTCCCCGCACAGGAAGGGGCGCTCCCCAGTGTGCATTCGCTGGTGCTGGATGAGGTGGATGCTCCGACTGAAGCCCTTGCCACACTCAGAGCAGATGGTGGGCCGCTCTGCGTGAGGGGCTCGCCGTGAGGCTGCTGCCACCCTTCTCTCCTGTCTTTTCACCAGGCCGATATCAGAGCAAGGCAACTTAGCCTCTTCTTCCTCCTCGCAGTCACCTGGCTGAGCCTCTGAGGAACCATGCTGACTTCCATGGCTGTCCCTCAACCGTTCCTCTCCTCCCCTGGACCCCTCTGCCAACACGTCCTGTACATCTGTGCTTGCAAGGTGATCTGGAAGGGGACCTAGCTCACAACCTAGGTATGAAAGGTGATGAAAAAATGTATGACTCTAACTGTGATTCTCACTGGAAAGCGGCATAGCAGAGAACAGGCAAGCTGTTACCCCAGAGAGCCTGGTCTGCGCCATGTAGGAGAAGCAGTAAAGGGAAGGACTGGGAGCAAATGGAAACCTAGCTGCAGGAGAGGCTGTGTGGCCTCATCATGTGACCCAGAGCAGACGTGCCACGGACAGCAGAGCCAAGGGCAATGCTACAGGTGTCTCCTTGCCCCCAAGAAATCTTCATATTTTGTCTTCTTAATAGTCTGTCTTCTCATACATACTCCTAACAGCAGGCTGACAAAGGTAGGCTATCTGCCTGCCCTGAGGGGGAAAGAGCAGGTCTCAATATGAGCTGCATGAAATAAAGTGGCTTAAATAACACTGAGGCAGCTCAAAGAGCGTTTTGCTTGCTCTGTGTTTACAAACTTCTCTAACTTATTCCTCACCCATGTGTGTCTCCTTGAAGGCCTCATGATCTTGTTCTTCTCCTTGGTCCATCTGGGCAGCTACGTTAGGTTCAGCAATCAGGAATCCTTCTTGCAAAAGCAAACAAAAGTCATCTTAGTTGACTACTCAGCAAAGGCTTGTCACATAATATGTCTTAAAATCTACTGCCCCTGCTGAATATGGAGAACAAGCAGAGTGGTTGCATAAAAGAATGGAATCAACTGAGCAACAAACATTATGGATACCCTGTGCACTGCTGAGGTATCTGGTGTCAAATAGTTTCTCTTCTCACCAGAACCCGATTTTCTTACTAGCTACCTCATCTCTTCTTTCTCCTCCAAGACTCTCAGGCTGAGGCAAAACCAACAAAACAGGCAATCTGATGTCTTGTCTACTCCGGCTGGATTCTGTTAGCTCCCAGCCTGGCATCCCTATTGCGCTCCAACAACAGCCATGAATGCAAACTGCTGGGCAGGAGGCTCTTACAAACGCCACATCAGCACCAGAGACAAGGATTTTTCCTTCAGTATTTACTATTTTAAGGCCAAAACCAAATGGTAAGCAGCAGCAGTTAGCATTGAGAGGGCAAGCATTAGCAGTTGCTGCAGAAAAAATGCAGAAGAACGGAGAAAATACGATGGTAAGAAAAATCCCACTTTATTTTAAAAAGTAAGAATCAAAGATGGCAGGGAAAGGATACCACATGGATGAATCTAGGACTGGAGACCGATATGCATCACAGCTAAAGTGGAGACTACACACAGGAATATTTTTAAAGCAGTTATTAATTCCCCTCCCTCCCCCTTTTAATCTTTATAATTATCTAAATACCAGTTTGCATCACTTCAAAAAATATACTCCCTGAACTTGGCTTCAAGCTAGTAATCTCTTCTACTTCTGGCTGATTCAAGGGAAAAATATACCTCTGGACAACTACTTGAGCTCTAGATGGAATTCACTAACTGGACAGATGGGTTCTGGTGCAAACAAACACTGTAAACTGATGGGTGCCTGGTCCTGGACCACTGCATCCATCACTAACAGCTATTTAACAGAAGGTAATGGGTAATAAGGGGTTAGATAGTGTCAGAATCAAGGAGACAACTCAGATGAAGGAAACAGTTTTGGACCTTGGATGCCAGTGAACCAATCTTGAAGTCATTGATCCTAGGTGGCAAAGCTGGACAGAAAGAAAAGGAGCAAGCAAAAGACTGGAATCTTGAACTGTAGAATCACGAAGAAAAAAAAAATCAGATAAGCAAAAAAGAAGCTTTGGGGGGAAAAAAAAAGCAGCCTGAAAATAATCTGAGTTCCTACTTTAAATGTTTACTGAATGCTGAGGTGGACCACCCCTGCAGATGGATCATTTCCAGCAGTTCCAAGGTGATATGCAAAGGGAAGTTTACTTTATGCCGCTCTACAGCTCTCAGGACTTTGCCACTACCAAGAATTCCTACTGCAACAGTTTGGCAGTTCGAGCCACCCAAGCTATTCATGTGCTGCAATATGTACCATATGGCCCACCCCAGCTCTGGAGCGAGAGGAGTCAAAACCCCGTCCACACACAGACCTTTCCCCCAGGCAGCTAACCACAAACAGCAGGATTTCTCTCTGAAAGCTGTCAACAAACAGGAACAGTGCAGGAGCAAATCCCTCAGCGTTTCAGGGGTGGTACCAGCATCTGACAAATGTCCAACAATCACCACCTGGGGAAACATCTAAGCAAGCAGACAAGGCAGAAGTAAGAGTTCCCTTCTGACCTTGCAAAAATTTCCGAGCTTGGGTTGCTACTGACAGACTGCTGCTAGGCTCAGATTTGCTGTGGCAGCTCAGGAGAAAGCAGATAACCTTTATACAATTCACAGGCTAGTCTGGAGTTAGAGTTTTGTCCTTTGCCATGATCACAGAATCACAGAATCATTAAGGTTGGAAAAGACCTCTAAGATCATCAACTCCAACCATCAACCCAACACCACCATGCCCACTAAACCATGTCCTGAAGTGCCATGTCTACACATTTTTTGAACACCTCCAGTGATGGTGATTCCACCACCTCCCTGGGCAGCCTGTTCCAATGCTTGACCACTCTTTCTGTAAATAAACTTTTCCTAATATCTAATCTAAACCTCCCCTGGCACAACTTGAGGCCATTTCCTCTCGTCCTAGTGCTAGTTAACTTGGCAGAAGAAACCAACACCCACCTCACCACAACCCCCTTTCAGGTAGTCGTAGAGAGCGATGAGGTTTCCCCTCAGCCTCCTCTTCTCCAGACTGAACAACCCCAGTTTCCTCAGCCGCTCCTCATAAGACTTGTGCTCCAGACCCCTCACCAGCTTCGTTGCCCTTCTTTGGACACGCTCCAGGACCTCAAGGTCCTTCTTGTAGTGAGGGGCCCAAAACTGAACACAGTGTTCAAGGTGCGGCCTCACCAGTGCTGAGTACAGGAGTACGATCACTTCCCTACTTCTGCTGGCCACACCATTTCTGATACAGTCATGTCTCTGTGAAAGGAGGGGACAAACCCCATTGACAGAGGGGATGCTCCTTCAGGGATTTCATCTGTGACAGGCAGAAGCACATCCCCAGGCATACGGGGTTATTGCCTGAACGTGGAAACGGAAGCAGGAGGAACATGTGTGTACGTGGGTGTGTGAGGTTACTGTAGGCAGCATCTACAGCTTTACTAAAACAAGACAGGAAGTGTGTCTGATTTGGACCTCCAGCAGGGGCTTTGCAAACACACCATACTCTTCCCGGGGCCTTAGCTTTAGGATTGCGATAGCTTATGCAGATTTTGCAGCTGGGTCCTACAATTTACGTTCTTTACCTTGGCTACTTATTTTCTCTTCCGACCAGTCAGCTCTGTATTCCTCTCATGGCTGCACCGGGCTGTGGAGGCTATGGGATTCATCCTAGTGCAGAGCTCCATACTTCCAGCTTCTCGTGCTCCCAGGGCACCGTCAGTGGCTGAGCACTCACCACTTGGCCATGCCAGGCACAACAGGACGAACCTGCAATTCAGAAGAAGGCATTCAAATCTTCCTCTCCCCAGCTTCTATCTGGGATAGATAATGCTCGCAGTAAAATCAAAAGGAGGTGCCCAGGGCAAGCAGGTCCTGTGTAGCTTTTGGGAACAAGGATTCTCCACGGGGCAGAGGTGGGACAGCGGTGGGAGACCGCGGGTAGGAGCTGGAGAAGGATCTCGCCCTGCGGCAGGTGAAAGAGCTGGAGCGGGGGGGGCG